GCGAGTGTGAGTGGAAGAAGGACACACAGGAGACTGGGAACAGTGGGATAGCTGAATAACAGAGGGTCTCTCCAGTTCTGCACCGTCCTCCAAGGCGCTAGAAGCAGGGATGATCAGGCTAGCCTGGGCCAGACGCTTCTTCTTCTCCAAGGGAGAGATCACCTCAGTCGGGGTGGGAGTATGAAGGAGAGGGATCTCTCTGGAGCAGGTGCCTGGGTGGGGACCGTGGACAGAAACTGCAGATGACTGCTCAGAGTCTAGGCGATCGGAGGACGCCAACCATGGACTGTGATGGGAACATATGCCTCTCTCACAGTGATGATCTGATCCCATTTTCTCCTGAGAACAAAAGGGACATGCTTCAGCACAAGGAGCAGACAGATACATCTCCACACATAGGACAATTGGAGATATATTCTATGCATCACTTAGATTTATATTGTTGTATGTCATTTTGTATGTAGGGTTTGGTGATAGATAATTATGCTGTTGATGTAAAATTAAGCAACATTGTGAATATTGCTAAAGTCCTAATGTGCCTTTTATTTGGCTATTGAGTTTCCTAAAGAATGTCATTTGAATAGTCCTGTACTCCCTCCTTCTCCCAAGACTTGAACATGGGAGCATTTAGACCAGGGGTGTCAAACTCATCTCCTGGAGAGCCACAGTCCTGCAGAGTTTAACGCCAACCTGCTCCTACACCGTTATCTTTAGTTTTCAAGTAATCCCGAAGACCTCGATTAGCTGGGTCAGGTGTGTTTAAACTCTGCTGTTGCCCTCCAGGAACTGTTTGACATCCCTGATTTAGACAGTAGCATAAATAGCACTAGATTCATTTCCATGAATGGGTTCAAACAGCCAACCGTCCAGGGTGTTTCCCTGCGTATGGCCTGAGCCACTGGGATTGGCTCCAGCATGCCCCTGACCCTACATAGGACAATTGGTTTGAAGAATGGATGGAGGGTTCAAATGGTCCATTTCAATGAATCAATTCAACAATCTGTTTGCGTCATTACTCAAAAATGTCCCATCAAAAAGCTGAAGTTCACATAGCAATGTCCCAACCCTAACTGTACATTTGACAAAGAGTTTCTTTGATCCAAGTGCATTTTCTTCCTGCTCACCTCACACTCTTCTCTCTCCGTCTTCCTCTTCTTCTTGCTCTCTGGCTTACTTCCCCTGTTCTCAGGGCTCCTCTTGTACTGTTTTCGAGGTTTGGAGGGTGGTAGTGGTTTGTCCTCCTCCCCTCTCAGTTGCCGCTCAAAGGGCAACACCAACCTGCACAAAGAAAGAGTTTTACTGTTGAAGCCATGGCCTAGTGGTCAATGCAAATGCTCTGAAACTTTGATCAGTTGTGTGCATGTGGGCAATGTGAGTTTGAGTATAGCTAAGCGATCCAACATACAATTTTTGATGGGTGAATTAAAAAAAATGCCTGGTTCATAACAGCTAAAAGTAAGTTTACCTTTCGTAGTGTCTGCGTGTGCAGGTGGCTGCACTGGTACTGCCTGGACTACCACCCAGCTCATCGTACACATTCTTCCATAGCCTCCGCGCTGTTACCTGTGAGCAAACACAACATTATTACACACCCTTAGAAGAAAAGAAAACTGAATTTAACTACGTACTGCATATAGCTACTTCTCTGACAATGATTCAAAACCCAGATGCTAATGACTAATTCATGAGTTTGCACTTACATATATTCAGATATGTAATTCTGAATGTGAATTTGCCTTGTTGACCAATACAACGCTGTTTAATTGGGAAGTGAGCACTGAGTAAACGGTGCTTCATGCATCACTATTGACAATGGACAATGGACAATGTTTCGCTAATGTGATAGCGCCTTAAGGCTAAATGTGTTTAATGTACAATTCTAAATTAGCATCTGTGCTTGCATTTTGTTTTCTTGGACTGACAGTGTGTGTATTGCATGCACTGTATTATCATTCTGATCAGCTCTTGTCATAGTGGAACTTCATGATTAGTCACTGGTTAGTTTCAGAGGTTGCCTCAAATGTGTCTAAGTACATACCCTAAATTTATTTTCACAGGCTGATAAAAGTTTCAGCTTTACAATGCTAATACCACCCTTACTGCCTGACACATTGCTAAATCAATTAATGACCAAGGTACTTTTTATTTACAGGTGTCAGTCCTCTGGACTTTGTTTAGTGACAGCAAACACCTTCGGTTTAGTTGTGTTACTGGAAAAAAGTTTGACTGATGCAATAATGGCATTTTTTTTTTTTGCATGACTCTTTTTTAGAGTACAATGTCAGACTTTCCACTTCCAGACCCAATTCACACACAGAAACAAGACCCCCCTTGGCCAAGACTAAAATTATATACAGACGACAGACATTAGACATTGTTTTGTCAAACATCGGTTTTAGTGACCACGCACACTCATTAAAAATACAAACACTTTAGCACCTTAGAGTGAGTGGAAACTTAAGGGTGCGAGAACAAAGCTTTGAAGCAGCGGGTTTGGCCAGAAAGAGCTAGGTGGAAGATGGACCCTCGTTCTCATTGTGGTCATAACGGTCACTGTTGTATGTATGGTGTGGCCTACAGCCATCATAGTTTCCACTGTGCAAGAGCAAGTGGCAAGTACATGACCTGCTTCTCAACTTCCTCGTTAGGTGAGGAAGCCTCGGGCAGTTGGCATACTTGCGCAATATATCGACAAGATAATGCTATCAGTGGTGTGAATGAGAGATCAGGAAGATAGACCAGCACCAGGTTGTGAAAGGTCTGTCTGGAGGTTTGTTTGCTCGAGGTTGTGTGAGGATACTTACCGCATCATATCCTCCAAGTGTCTCCACAGCTTTGTAGATTTTCCACAGGTTGACTGGAAAAAAGACAAAGACATGATTGCGTCAACACACAATCTTAAAAATTAAGTTATGAGATGTAGATGGCACTTCTCATCAAAACTGTGATCAGTGGAAATCAGTGAAATGAAGTGCTCCTCATCTCAAGGAAGTCAGACTAAATCTTATAAGAGCTGTTTTATTTTCTAGTAATTTTATATGAGGTATGCAGCCCTGTTACCAAATGTTGGGACATTTTGAAATACAGTTTAAAACTTTAAAAATACAATGCCAGAAGGGGTAACAGGGTTGCAAATTTAGCATAAATGTAGCCTCACTCAGTAGTGGCTAGCTAGTTTGGTTTGTAGTTATTAATAAACATATTTTCCATAAATTAAAGAAAATATTTGGTAACACTTTACAATAAGGTGTTAGTTCATGTTAATTCACAGTGCATTAACTAATGTTAACAAACAACTTTTGATTTGAATAATGCATTAGTAAATGCTGAAATTAATCTTAACTAAGATTAATAAATGCTGTAGAAGTATTGTTCGTTTGTAGTTCATGTTAACTAAAGTAGTTAACGAATGTTAACTAATGAAACCTTATTGTAAAGTGTTACCAAGTATTTTTTACAACATTGTGGTTAACAGACTTACATGGTTGAGCTCAACACAGCAACATTTTTAAAAACTGACAAAACTGTCTTTCTGTCCCATTATAAAAAGTCCAAATTAAGTCAAGTGTGTAATGATCTGTAATGAGGAAAAATCATATTGTAGCATAGCTATGCAAAATGTGGGACTACATATTAAATAAAATAAAAAAATAATAACTATATTTAAAATATTTTTGAATACAATGAATTAAATATGAGTTCAATAGACGATCAACATAATGATAATTAATTAATTTGAGATTTGTTTTATTTTAGATAACAGTTAACACAACAGTTTTCTAACAGTTCTCACAAAATAATTAATAATGTGATTTCTGCCTCATGGTTTAAAAGAAAAAGTCCTGACACATCAAAGTGTACCACATTATTGGAAAGTGGCAGATACAGTACATGATTTAGGCAGCGTGTTGTTGTTTTTTAATATTAGTGGGTTTAATGGGTGCATCGCCACCCAAAAAAACTGTTGCGGTTGTGTTCTGTGCTGAAAAATCATGCTAAATGCAAGTAATAAAATGCAATTAACTAAATAGTTGTACATAGTTGGAATAGCATAATAAATAGGCTGTTCCACTTTTAAAGGGAAGGAGAAAACCTTTAACTTTGTAACTGATGTCAAAGTTGGTGTATCTGATCTTTCACTTATAAAAGTTAGTCAAATCAGAGAAATGCCAACACGGACATGCTGCGTAACATGCCCTCGCACTCAAAAACCATGAACAAAACTATAGAAGGTAAAACAAAAGATGAGCCCGAGACAACACTAAACACAGGCCCACTTGGTTTGTGACGACCACAGTGTGTTTTGGTGAGGTGAATTATGGCAGCTGAGAGCTTGAAACTCAAATTTTTCATATTGCAGGGCCTACACAGTTCTTGGTCATAGAAAGACAATTACATTTACATTACATTCGTTGAATTGCAGTGCATTTGCATGATTTTTTGTGTTGTGTTACTACATAATATATAATGAAAAATCTACATTTTGAAGCAAAACTAGTTGAAAAGCACTGATTTAAATGCTGTAATATTATATGCAACAGTATTCAGACTCACTCTGTTTAAAGCCAAGATGGGGAATTCTCTCTATAGGCATGCTTCTTTCCTTCATGAAACCGTACAGATTGGTCACAAAGGTCCTCTCTTCACTCTCAAATTGGTCTGTTCTGGAACCTTCCTCGCTGCTATTGGTGGACACCATGTTCTCCATCTCCCCGCTGGTCTATTGGAAAAATAGTGTACGGTTAAAAGGCACATAATCACAAAAGTTGTCAAAAAAAATTTTTTCATCTAATTGTCCATTTCTGTCGAGTTCAGGAGTTCCCAACATACCAGTTCAGTAACCAATAAATCTACACTATGCATGTGCACTGTACACGATATAGGCAATATATGAATATATGTGGGTGAGTTTGTGTCATTTACAGGAAGCAGTGTAACTGTGCTTCGAACAACTTCAAATTTCACTTTCACACAAACAGCCTGATAAATCTTCTCACTGATTCATTTTCTCAAAGCCTCATGCAAAATTGCAGGTGATATAGGTGCTCATGCAACTCCGTTCCGAGACCAGTCATATTCAGAGTGTGAGACTGAAAACACAACAGCTTTGGCTTTCACCACCACTTTCAATAAGTAACCAGACATCCTGTTTGAAGGGAAACCGAACCACTGGTGGGGTTTTCACAAAGGAAAGCTGCACTAGGGCTGTACTCCACACTGTGATAAAGACACAAGTGGTGCAAACATGAGAAACTTTGCAGTTACTGCAAGAGGGCGGGAGTTTGGTGTCCGCAAATCTTGTGATTTTCAGCTGAAACACAAGAGTATGAATGTAGCTTTCCTTATCTACGTGATACTAAAAAAGTGAAGTGGGATTATGAGATATGTTCCTCTGATCACACTTTCGCACAATTTGATCAAAATACTTTGTGGAAGAAGCTAAACTCCAGAATAAAGGGCTGTTCATGATAACTACAATTATAATGTTTTAATAGTTCACACCACAACTAGAACAATAGCGACACAGAGGAACGATGTCGTTGAAATCACTTTCAGAATGATTTTTTTTCCAGCTGATGAATAATGATAAAAACATTCACCGCCAATCAGAATCCACCCGACTTTAAAGCAGCAGACGACAAAACTGCAGCACACACTTATAATAAACAGTATGTGACCCTGGAGCACAAAACCAGTCTTAAGTCGCTGGGGTATATTTGTAGCAATAGCCAAAAATACATTGTATGGGTCAAAATTATCGATTTTTCTTTTATGCCAAAAATCATTAGGATATTAAAATCATGTTCCATAAAGATATTTTGTAAATTTCCTACTGTAAATATATTAAAACTTAATTTTTGATTAGTAATATGCATTGCTAAGAACTTCATTTGGACAACTTTAAAGGCGATTTTC